ACCAATTCAGTTTAAAAGGGAAAGAAAAGTTTTTTCAGCAAACCATACTGAACGTCAGTATGGAAAAAATTAAACCTTGACTCAAATTTCACATCTTATACAAGAGTTAATTCAAGGTAGCTTGAAGACTTAAGTGTGAAAGCTAAAACGTTAACACAACTAGATGAACACAAAGAGGAATACTTTTGTGGTTGAGGGTAGACAAATTGTTTCTAGACAGAACACAGAAAGAACTATTATAAAAGAAGAACAATTAAAACTGCCGCACTTTTAAAATAATATTAATAAGATAACAGAGCAAAACATATTTACTATTTACACATTTGGCAACAGACTCACATCCAGACTCACATCCAGATTTATAGGAGGTAACTTCTATAAATATAAGACTTGAGCAAAAGAGTTGAACAGGCACTTCACAGAAGATGATAGGTAAATAAATAACAAACACAGTGCCCAGCATTTCCTCTGATTTGAGGAGATCGAGGTCTGTGCTCAGGATGCCTTCTTCTGCTAGAATTTGCAAGGCAGAGCTCTGGTGAGGAAGGAGTTCTGCAGAGAGTTTGAGAAATCCACATTGGGGGCCTTTTGACTTTTTGGCTGAATACTGATCTATGCACTCAGAGAGTGAGACCCCACAAGGCTGGCAAGAACAACTTTGGAAGACAGAAAAATTACTGAGAAGCTATAAAACAGATTCTCAGAGTTCAGACCAGCTCAGGAATTGCTTGAGTCTTCTCCAGCCAGAGTAGAGACCTTGTGATATATATAGAGCATTTAGCAGAGACCCCAGAGAGAAAGCACCTTCTAAGTGATGCAAAATGAGTCTTAGAATAATAGTTATTTTGGACTTCTCCTAAAGGAGTTTTAAAATAAGCCTCAGAAGGGTGAAACTAATCTGCAAGTAACTTAGCTCACTGTCAGAAAAATATCAAGACTCTTCAGGAAAACAAAGCATTCCATACCCTAAAATTTACAATGTCTGGCATCCAATAAAAAGTCACTAGACATAAAAAGCGGCAGGAAAATGTGAGCCCAAAATACCAGTAAACAGACACAGAAATGTCAGAGATTAAATGAACCAACAGCTACGTTAAAACACCTATTATAAATATGCTTCAGATATTTAAGGATATAAAAAAATATGGACATAATTAGAGGAAAAATAAAGATTTTTAAAAGAACCAAATGAAACTTCTACAGATGAAAAATTCAATCAAATAAAAGCAGCCAGATATGTAGCAATAGGACTCACATTCATTGCTGTTGGGAATGCAAAAATGGTGCATCCACTTTGGAAGATAGTTTGGCAGTTTCTACAAAGCTAAACATACTCTTATCATATGATCCAGCAATCATGCTCTTTGGTATCTACCCAAATGAGTTGAAAACTTATGTCCACACAAAAACTCTCACACGGATGTTTATAGCATTTCATCTGTAATTGCCCAAACTTGGAAGCAATCAAGACATCCTTCAGGGGGTGAATGGATAAATAAACTCTAGTAAATCTATATAACAGAATATTATTCAGTGCTAAATGGAAATGAACCATCAAGCCATGAAAAGATATGGAGAAAGCTTAAATGCATATTACTAAGTGAAAGAAGCCAATCTTAAAAGGCTACAGTATGATTCTGACTATGTGACATTCTGGAAAAGGCAAAATTATGGAGATAGTAAAAAATATATTTAGGGCAGGGAAACTATTTTGTATGATATGAGAGTGGTGGACATATGTCATTCAACATTTGGTAAAACCCATAAAATATACAACACGAGGAACGAATTCTAATGGAAGTTATGGACTTTGGGTGGATAATGACGTTGTCAGTGCAGGCTTATCGATGACAACAAATGTACCACTCTGATGGGTGATAGGAATAGTGGGAGAGGCTGGGACTGGGAAGGGACAGGGAACATACGGGAACTCTATGTAATTTCTGCTCAATTTTGTTGTGAACCTAAAAAATAATTGTTTCATTTATTATTTATAATATTTATTTATAAAAAATAAGATCTATCATAAAATAGTAGGAAGACCAATTACCTACAAAGGAGACACAGACTCACATCTGATTTCACATAAACAACAATGGAAGCCAGAAACAGTGGAAGGGTAGCTTTGACTGTTGAAAGAAAACAGTTACCAATTTAGAATTCTACATCCTGTGAACACACTGTCCAGAAATAAGGATTAAAAATTGTCATCACGGTCAAACGAAAATGAAAATTGTTTGCCACTGAGTCGACTCTCACTAAAGGGAGTTTGAAAGGATGTACGTCAGGCAAAATTAAAGTGATTTGAGATGGAAAGTCTAGGGATTAAAAAAAAAAAAAGTGAAGATCAGAAAAAGTGGTAAAAAGTGTTTGAAACAATGGCCACCTAATTTCTCTCTTGGTATCCACATCCCTTTGCAATGTGATTTTTGCAGCTCTTTTTATGAAGAGGTAGATCCTCTTTCCCCACCCTTTGAAATTGGGCTTGGCCTAATTCATGTCCAGACCAATGGAAGGTGGCAGAAATGATGTGCCAGTTGTAAACTGTCATTCATTATCTTGGACCCCTGAACTGTCATGTTAACAAAAGTAGGGACCCTGCTAGAGAATGAAAAGCCACACAAAGGAGCTGATCTAACCCATTCTAGATCTGTTCAACTCCCAGTTGATCTGCCACCTGGCAGCAGACTCACATGTGAGCTCAGCTGTAATCAGCTTAAATTGGCCTAGGGTGAGAAAAACAGAGCAGCCTACCCACAGTCTCCTGAGAAATAATATACGGTTATTATTCTAAGCCACTAAGTTTTAAGGTGATTTGTTATTCAGTTAGGAGCCCAGGAGTTAGTAATAGATAATAATGGTACAAATCAATAATAGCTTGTAGGTTAAAAAACAAGATAGAAACAAAATATACCATAGTTAGCTCATGACTAGAATTGAAGTGTTTTAAGATGAAAACAAGATGTTTATTTTTCTCATATAATATGAACTTCAGTTGTAAGCATTTAAAGCTGGTACAGTTGCTCAAGGAATTTATCAAGGACCCAGACTCTTTCCATCTTTTGCTCTACTATTCCTAGTTATGACCACCATCTTTATGCTCACAAAATGGCTGCTGTACCTCCAGGCATTGCAACTGTGATCCAGGCAGAAAGAAGATAAGAATGTGATGAGTCTCTCTCTTCCTTATGGGGAAAACAGTAACATTCCAACAACTCTACTTAGTAGATTTCTTATGTTTCACTGGCCAGAACTCTGTCACATGGTCATATCTAAGTGCCAGGAGCCTGGGAAATTAAGATTTTTAGCTAGGTGAACTGTTCCCCTCCCCACTTCCCCCTCAGCCCCGCAAATGAAGATTCTGTTATAAAGCGACCATAGAGATGGATATAGTTTGGGCAACTAAGTGTCTCTGCTCTCTCCTTGGGGGAAAACATCTTACTTGAGGGAATAATCCAAAAGGAAAAGCAAACAATGTACTTGGCATAAACACCGACAGGTAGCATTGTGCAGAGGACAAGGCATTGGAGTAAGAGTCTCTTAGTCCTGGCTCTGAAGCTGACTTGCTGGGAACTGGTCTCAGTTTCTTCCCCATGAAATCAAGATGGAGTAACAAGAGGGGCGCCTGGGTGGCTCAGTCAGCTAAGTGGCCGATTTCAGCTCAGGTCATGATCTCACAGTTCATGGTCTCCAGCCCTGAGTCAGGCTCTGTGCTGACAGCTCAGAGCCCGGAGCCTGCTTCGGATTCTGTGTCACTCCCTCTCCTTGACCCTCACCTGCTCACTTTCTGTGTATCTCTCTCTCAAAAATAAATAAACATTAAAAAATTTTTTAAAAAAAAAGATGGAATAACAAGCCTTTTTCAGAGCCTATAGAGACAGTGAAGGGAATTAACATTCATGAGAGAGTCTTCATGTGCAATAGCTCACTTAGACCTTACAACAAATATATGAGTATCGTTATTCCATTTACACTGGGGGATGTGAAATCTCAGAGAAATCAAGTAGGGTATATGGAGCTTACATCCGGTAAATAGCAGAGTCAGAATTCCAGCCAGGGGCTGCAGGTCCCCAAAGCCAGAGCCTTCGTTCCATCACTGTCCCTCTCTCAAAAGGTGAAGTAAGTACATGCATTTTCATTTCTTGAATTTCAGGGTAACATTTTCTAAACCATTGTCTTTTGAAGTGTGGCCTGGTGACACCTGAAGCAGCATCACCTGGGGTCTTTGTTATGAATACAGTCTCCTGGACCTCTTTCAGATGAATGGATGCAGGCTGTCTGGGGCTGCTGATACTCAGGAATCTGCATTTTTAAAAGTTCTCCAGCTAATTTGGAGACATTTTAAAGTTTGAGAACCATGATTTTAGGCTTATCATTTGCTGTTCCATTCCAATGTAGTTTATTTATGGATCCACAGCTCATGGAAATTTCCTCCTAATATCAGGAAAATAAAATTTAAAAATAGTCTGTTTCTCCTTCCTGTTCCTCAGTCTTCTAATGAAGACACTCAATTCCATGGAAAATATTAAGGAACTGGAAGTGTGTCATAGAAAATAATCTGACACTGATTAACTGGGGCTCTGTAAAGCAAAGGTACAGGTTAACAGAAATGAATGCTGATTAGAATCAAACAGGGCAGGAAGGGGATGGGCGAAGGAAATGGCATTAACTAAATATTTACTATGTCCTAAAAAAATGTATTTGCTATGTTCTAGACACTGTTCCAGACGTATTGCATCATTCAAGGGGCTCAAGACATGTGATTCAATCCCTTTTGTTTATAAATGGGTAGATATAGTATTTTCTTTTTAGAGATGAGGAATCTAATGAGAGAAACTGATAAGAGGACACTTCACTTGCCTGCGTTGAATCATTCATTCATTCATTCATTCATTCTTAGAATAAATGTCTCCTGAGCTTTCATGGAAGACACTGAGACTAGAGCCCTGGAAAAAAAATCAGTCTACAGACCTCATGGTATCACAAGACCCTTTACCCACCTCATCTCCATGGAAGAAACTGGAACTGAGGGAGAAGATCGGGATTGGGGTCGGCCAGAAGCAGTCTTTCCCTCTGGGTCTGCCTGTTGCAGGGAGCGGGAGCAGAGCTTGTTACTGGCCGTCTCCAGCAGCCCAAGAGGGCAGGCTTTGCTTAGTTTTTGGTAGTACCTGCATCCCTACGCAGGCGGTTCAGTGTATAACCTCCCTCACCTACCCGGCTCACCCCAGCTTACTTGTCCAGAGGGGAGTGTCTGGAGGGAGGGCCTAGAAGCAGAGCTTAAAGGAAGGGGAGAACCCCAAATCTTACATCCTCTCACTAAAAGGCAGGTATTATTTCCCAAAGAGAGATATTATTTCCATTTTACAGATGAAGACATGGAGACTCAGAAAGGTTAACCGAGTTGTTCAAATAAACATCCTACGCGGGAGGGGAGAGGGGCAGGTCTCAGAGGGTGACTGTGATCCCTGCCACCAAGATTTATTTAATTCCAGGCTCAAATCACACAGAAAATAAAATTTTCTCCGCAAAAGGTTCTGTGGAAAAATGTTCTCTGTTCTATGCAACAGCCTCCTCGGCTGTGTTTGTGTCTGAAGAGAGGACTAGTCTGACAGGAAGAATTACAAATCTGGAGCTCATTTTGGTGTCCCAGAGGGAAGGTGGGTGGAGCGTCTCACAGTAAATTAGGAATTCAGAATGAAAACGTAGCCGAGTTTATTTGGGTTTCTAGTGACACCTCAGAATTATTGCGCAGGCATATCAGAGGCAAGTCAAAGTATTGACTGCTCCCCCTCCTCCACGTTGGAGTGCTGCGTGCTAAGAGGGGGAGTCCTCCTCCTTGGGGTGCGTGGGGAACCTTCCGTTTCCCACCTGGATCAGGAGGGGGTCAGAAAGAAGGAGTGTGGTTTGGGGCCCCGTTCTGGGTCCGCTCTGAGTTCCGGAGGGGAGAGAGACTCTTTGAGGGGAGGGTGGGGGGCGGGGTCGAGTGTCGGAACTCAGGATCCGAAGTCTGTGTCACATCTGAGGCCAGGACTTGAGGACTTTCAGGGCCTGGACTTTGAGAGGTGGGCTAGGCTGGGGTTAGACACAGCGGGAGAAGACTGAGTCGTATATGAAAGTCACCGAAGAAGGATTTGGGGGGTGGGGTGTTGAAAGTTGAAGCCTGGATTTGGGAAGTGGAGGTTGAAGCCTGCCTGACGATACCGCGGACCCGGGCGACTGTGTTGAGGACTGGTGCAGTGCTGTGAAGGCGGGTCGGGGTGGGGCTGGGGTCAGGACTAGATCTTAACGTGCTGGGAGAAGGCTAGAAGAAAAGAGCGTAGAACGGCCACAGCCTTTTTCCGAAAGCGACTCACACTCAGACACACCCCTCGTGCAACCCTCGCCCTCCGGGGCTGGAGGCTAAGCCAGGCCAGGGCTCGCTAGACCCCGGCCCCTACCCAGCTTCCTCCAAGCAGGGAGCGGTTCTGGCTGGGGCAGGGGTCTGGCAGCGCGGCCCCGGGGTAGCCTGGGGGCGTGGCCAGAGGCCGGCGCCCGCGGATGCGGATTGGCTGTATGGCGGGCCCGTGGGCGGGGCTCCGGGCTGGGTCCCGCTCGGCCGCTAGCAGACAGCCGGGAGGCGGGGCCGGCGGGAGCCCGCCAGCCAATGGACGCGCAGCCCCGGAGCAGTTACAAAGGGCCGGAGCGAGGCCGCCGCGGCGGCGGGAGGTGGGGCGAGGCAGGGCTTGCTCGGGCGAGGCGGCGGCCGGGCCGGACCGGGCCACAGGCGGTGGCGGCGAGACCATGGACGCGGCGGCCGCTGCTCCGCGTCCTCGGCTGCTCCTCCTCGTGCTGGCGACGGCGGCGGCGACGCTGGTCCCGGGGGCGACGGGTGAGCGGCGGCGCGGCGGGGCTGGCGGGAGGCTGCGGGGCGCGCGGGCCGGGCCCGGCCTCTGGCTCGCTCCCTCTCTTTCTCAAACATGGCGCGGGGCCGGGGGCGCAGGTGGCGGCGCCGGGCCGGGGCCGGGCTGGCCTGGCCTGACGGCAGCCACGCGAACCACGGGCGGGGAGCGCGGGCGGGGCGGGGCGGGGGCGTGTGTCCGGGCGCGGGTGGACTTGCCCCGCAGCGGGCGCCCGCCCCTGCACCCAGCTCCCCGGGGGAGGTGGCGTCGGGCCGAGCGGTCCGAGGGCCGGGCTGCCTTGCGGGGAGCCAGGGGGCGCGGGCCGAGGGCCGGAGGTGGTGTGCGGCCGGCCGGGCCTGGAGGAGCCGGGGCACCGTGTGGCGTTGTCTGGGCTCCCCACCCGGAGCGGGAGGGTGCACGCGGTTCTCGGCGCCCGGGGCGGGGTTGGGGTCGCCGGAGGTTTCCCGGGCGGGGTCTGAACTCTGAGCCTGCCGAGCGGTGGGAGGGGGCGACGTGTCGGGGAGACCCCCCGGGTCACGAGGGCGCCCTGGATTTGGGCCCCGGCCCACCCAACCGAGAGGGGCTGTTTCTCCAGCCAGGGGTGGCTTTGGAACGGGGAGCCGCGAAGCTTTGTGTGAGAAGAAGGAGGCACGAAGATGTGCGGAATGTTTCTTCTTTCGTGCGTCTGTGAAGTGTTGAAGTGAATCCAGGAACCAGAAGGCTACAGATTGTTGTCGTAGTAGAAACTTGAACGTTTGCTCACTCTGCGGGGTTTGGAATGTTTGAATGGGAATGACTGAATTGATCAAACGCTTTTATTTCCTCGAAGGGAACATCTCTAGTGATGTTCCTTTTCTTGAGTGACAGTACTTTGAATCAGTAGTCTCTGTGTAGTTTGGTTTTCAAGAGAGAATATTTGCTCCATTTTCCAAAATACGAAGTCAGGATGGGATACGTGGTAATAACCTACTTCCGTGGAAGAAACCGTGAAAAACTTTGTTAACATCCAGACTAAAATACTGGAAACTGAAATATAGATCCTTAGTGTTAGAAACTAAATTACATTGGAAGTACATTTCTGTTTCTAAAATTGAATACCAAATGTTTTAAAAAAACAACTCAGGAAGGAGAGTGTCAATTATTACTAATAGCTACTGTCTGTTAAAAGCTTACTATGAGATAGATGCATAAAGTTCACCAAAGTACATTATCTAATTCTCACAATGAAATCCTCAGGCCTGGTGGCATTTGCCGCATTTTATAGATGAGAACACTGAGTTTCAAACAGGTTAGGTTAAGTCCTTAGTTACTAAGAGTCTGCGTTAGGATTTCCACGCAGAGTTCAGTCTTTCTGCAACCTATATGCCTTAATGCTTACTTACGCCTGTCTGGCATTGCCCATATTTCTTTTCAGTCCTCTAATGAGCACTTGGTCTTTATGATTACCTTTTTGATTGTACCCTCACAACATGAAAACCAGGTTGGCCTCTTTCTGATGCCTAGTCCATTCCTGGAATCCCTTCATCCTGGGCCTACATTAGAGGAAATACTGGTTTTTTGACAATGGCCTAAGGAGTGAGGGCAAGGTAAATATGTGGACAGGTAGGAGAATGCATAGTTAGGTACCCAGCAAAAGTAACATTTCTACAGCACCAATACCTCGAGTAGCATACTTCCCTCTTGCCACCTAGCCTACCCAGCACACTAAGTTTCAGGCATTCACTTAACAGTATTGGACTTAACTGGTGTCCAGAACAATGCTCAGTCGGTGCTGGGGAGAAGCTTACAGACTGCACTGGCATGAGCACAACACAAAGTCGATCCTGGTGCTGCTGCTCTGAAGTCTAGACTGCCTCAACTGGTCTGCCCACGCTTGTTGTTTATGTTGATGATCATGTTTCGTCGATTCTGAAGAAGCTCAGATGGCGCTTTTAAATTTATCATTTAGCTTCCTTTTTGAGACCTTGCAGTTGTTCCTTATTATCTGGGTATCAGTTTTGTATTTCTTTGCCCAGCTTCTCCTCTCTTTAACATAGCTTTCTCTAGGGAAATTGGTTCCCTGTCCGTAGTAAACAGATCAGTACCATACCTGTGTGTCCACATATAGATCCCATGTGAGCGTCTGATTTCCTTTCTGCCATTGTGTAAGGTTTTTCTTTGAAAACATGCCTAAAACCCAACTTGTTGTTAAGTTTATTTATTTATTTTGAGAGAGAGAGTACATGAGCGAGCAGGGGAGAGGCAGAGAGTCGGGGAGGAAGAGAATCCCCAGCTGACAGCACAGAGCATGATGAGGGGCTTGATCCCACGAACTGTGAGATCTGTGAGATCATGCTCTGAACCTAAATCAAGGGTCAGATGCTCTTAACCAGCTGAGCCACCCAAGCACCCCTCTATAAATGCTTCTCCAGTGTCTCTTCCTTTCTTTGTATGCAGCCATCTATTTATCCCTTGACTCTAGTTGCTTTCTAGTTTCTCTCATCTAGGCTTTTCTATAGTATATCGCCACGCTAATCTTCCGCAGCCATCCTCACAAAGGGTTTATAAGATTTCCCATTTGTATTCAGCAGGAGTAGTACTTGAGGCTTATGATTGAAGTCATATCTGAATATTCAACCGAAGATCTCAACTTCTTACTACTGTAAACCCTCACTTCCAGTGATTTCTGTTTTCCCACTGACTCTTGACTTTTTAGCCTTTTAAATACATACTTAACTTTGCCCCTTTTGGGAATGTGAGGAGAGAAGTTCTCAGTCCTGTCTTTGTGTACTGGTTTAGTTCCTGAACACTTTGTTTCTTTGAACTGTATAGTACGTACAGTTTGTGTTGTTTATTTCTACCATTCTTGCGCTGTTATTATACTTTTGAATGTGGCATAGGTACCCAGAGGGCAAGGGTGATACCTTTTCCTTTATGCTCTTGGAACCTAGCACTGTGTTCTGTATTCTGTTCCACTTAAATACTTGTTAATTAAATGAATTACATTGCACTGAGCCTTCCTTTAGTATTTATACTGTTTTATGTAAGTACAGTTTATGCAGTATTAATTGGCATCTCTGTATATATAATATGGAAAAATCATATAATGTAATGAAAGAAGCAGTTGGTTATTAGATTTGTTTATTAGTCTCAACCTCACCTCTAGTTATGCAGAAACTCTGGATCATACCTGTTTTTCCTAATTTATGAGATCTTGAACACCAAATGAGACAGACCATTGTATTGGAGTTTGAGGTTGCTATTCTGTATTGAGATTACTGGTAGGATTGATGTTCAGCCACCAATTTCCACTGAGCCATGTGTGTTTTGATTGATCAGACATCTTTTCTGATTGGTTGGTACCATATGGAACCAGTTGTTAAATATTTTTAATATCGCCCCTGCAGAGAGGCATCAGTAGTCAAAGAGGGAAATGATTAATGTAAGCAGAAGTAATAAAGGGAGGCTTTCTGGACACTTTAGGACTTGAACTGACTTTGAAGCTTGAATTCAGATGAGCAGAGAAGGGGATTTGATGAGTAGTAAGGTGTGTCCCCCACTGTCCTGGGGCCTACTCCAGGGCAGGAAGCGAAGCTTTTATTGAGTGACTGGTAAGTTCCTTTTTAGAGTTCAGTTCTTCTGTACTGCATGGCTTGGATGTATTAACCACTATTTCTTTCCCCCAATTCTGAAAACTCTGTAATATGTGACTGGAAACAAAATTGAAAGGTAATCTAAGTGGGATAAATAAGAGAAAATAATATTATGGGCTGCCCACCGGGGATAAGCATTTTAATGCTGAAAGTTGTAAGTCCCTTCTGTTTACAAGGGGGAAAAATGACATCAGAGGTTAGGTAAATTTCTTAGGGTCAGGCAGAACTAAGGCAGGAATTTAGATTATCTCATTCCAAATCTTGTGCTCTTTAAAATATGAAGGGCTTTGAGGTGGGGAGGGCAGGCTTAATGGAGTGCCTTGCCTAAGTGAAGTTATCTTGAATTTTACAGAACTTATGAAAAGTGACTTCTGATGGACTGGGGGGAGGGGCTAAAAAGTCCTCAAGAGAAGGTCAATATCTTTTTTATATTGCTGATAAAAAGAGCTGGTGTAGCGCTTATTGATTGAGAAGAGTAGGTTTTAGTAGTTTTAAAGGTGGTAGAACCGTTTGGGGTTTAATTGAAGTGGATGTAATTGAAAGTCCTTGCAGTACATGGTCTAGGTTTAGAATTTTAGATGATCTACTTTGTTGAAATCAAATAGGGAACTGACACTTTCAGAGTCATTGAGAGGGAGGTAAATCTTCCTCTGAGGAGGGCTGCGTATGTGGAGAAGATACATTTCATGGATGGCCCTTTTGATGTGAGAACATGTCTCTTCAAACCACAGAGCCCCCTGCACATGTGGACAACCCGCCTGCCTTTTGCTGTTCTTGGTCATGGCTTATATAATGCAAGTTCTCTGAACAGATGGACTGTGGTTTATCATCATGTGATTAGGTCACATCTTTGCTTCCTGCTTCTGGAATTGAGGGCAGATGCTGACCTGTATCTCAGGGGTTTTCATGCATTGTCCTAAAGAACTGGCTTGAGAAAACTTTTGGAATCTTAAAAATTATGGTCTGTCTTGACCTGGCCTACCTCTATTACTTGGGGTAATTAATGACTTTCTTAACGGAATTTCCTCATTATCAAACCCACGTGTTATCCATAAACAGTAAGATTTGTTGCTACTTTGAATGAGATCCAGTTTTAGCACAACAGTTTTGCCCAGGTGATGCAGGTAGGTTTCCTGTGGTTACTCTCTTTTGATATGAACTTAACAATTGGTTGACTTGTAGGATTTTTGCTTTAGATACTTTTACAAACACTAGTAAGAGAGAGGAGTAAGCCTGGGTCCAATTTCATAGATCATATCTGGCGTTTTGTAAAGCTACTCCCTATTTGACAATCTGAATACACATTATAAAGAATGATTTTTTAAAAAATTTTTCTTAATGTTTTATTTATTTCTAGG